TTTCAATACCAGTTTAGTTTTTCCTCTTCTCGTAACTAATCTGAGCATCCTTCTCAACTGGAAATATATTAAATGATAATCATGACAGGGGTACATAGCTAATTTGGGTTTATTGCCTTTTTATATGGATAACAAATATGAGCTTTCAAAGTTAGTATCATTATATTTCAAGACTCATAAAATGTGCTTCAATTTATTGTAACTATATTGTCATTTTGAGTTAATTTATTTAAGAAAATTCCATTCACTGCTATTAAGGAATCTCTCTCAGGGCTGAGCATGAAAAAGGCCATTAATTAACTCTTTATTAATGGGTTGATCAGAGAAGGAGACAATTGATCAGGGAAGCAGACAATTGATCAGGGCAGGAGACTGTCACTCATAGTCCCTGGCGGATTACTCAGCACAACATAAAAGCCTTGAAAGCAGATGTCTGATGACAGGAAAGTCATTTTAAATGTGGAAGAATTAGAAATGGCTAATAATTCTGGCTAAAAATTCTAAAGGCAGGACTCAGAATATTTTAGATGTTTCACGTAATGTCAGGCAATCAGTAGGGGCTATGGTTTGATTGTGTCCCCCATATTTCAAATGCTGAAAACTTAATCTCCAAATTTGTATTTTTTTAAATAATTACTTTATTTAACATTATTTATTTATTTATCTTTAATTTAACTAGAATGAGAGAGAAAAAGAGAGAGAGGGAAAATGAGAAAGCAAGCTGCCAGGTCCAGGACTTGAACCGTAGTCAGCCATATGGGAGTCCAGCGCCCTTAACCATCACACCACCTGCAGGTCCCGCAAATTTGTTTATTAGTGATATTTACAAGTGGAGCCTTGGAAGGTAATTAGGATTAGTAAAGGTCATCATGGTGTGGCCTCCATAAACAAATTAAATAGATAATAGTAATAATAAAGGCTCTAGATAAAAAGGAGAGGCCTGAACTGACATTCATGCTCTCTCTGCCATATGATGCTTCTTGACATGTGATACAGCAGGGAGACCCTCCTAGATGTTGTCACCTTGATGTTAAACTTCCCAAACCTCGAGAACCATGTGCCAAGTACACCTCTACTCTATGTAAATTACCCTGTTGGTGGTGTTACAACAACAGATAAGGTTGGGACCAGCAGTTAGCATAATGGCTATGTCGCTGGGCTCCCATGTAGTCAACCGCGGTTCGCGTCCCGGACCCAGTGGCTTAAAACTCACACTGGGCGTGTGTGCGTGCTTGCCCAAGATCCTGAGAGGAGAACAGATTGCAGCGTGGCCATCCCCCCGGGGAGTGATTTCTTGCTTTCTGTCTCTCTGCCTCTCTCTGTCTGTCTGAGAGGCCAAAGCCTAAAAAAAAAAAACCCCTCAAAAAAAAAAAAAAAAAAAAAAAAGAGGCTGTAGGTTCATCCTTTCAATTCTGCTTTAGGGAATCCACTTTATTTTGCCACCATCTGCTTTGAGACGAAGTGTTCTTTAACTTTATTTTCCCTGCATTACTGCTAGATGTACTGACTATTCCAGCTGAAATTAGCTCTATTTCCCTGTGCTTAAATCTTCTTGATAGTTATTGATAATGCCATTTCTCTACAGCAATGAATCACTTAACCAAGGACATACTTAATTTCTTTAAACTTTTCTCTTGATGTTTTCTTCTCCCTCTCCTTCTTAACCAAATTCTGATTAGTGAGCTCATTACTATTAGTACCTGAATGTCTTTTAACAATGTAGCAAATTTGAGATGTTTTCATCAAAGCAGGGAAATTGCTACTTCTCTCTTGCATCACATTGAGATTGATTTTTTGGTGCCAAGAATTTATCTCCATTTTGAGGCTACCTCACGGCAAAGGAACACACCATCACTGGCTATTTTGAAGCCTGAGTGGCTCAAAATTGACTTAAATACACATCCTTTTGGTCTAGATGAAGTTATTTAAAAGTTGATACTGAAACCAGCAGGCAATATGGTGGCTAAGGCACTGGACTCTCACAAAGGCTGACTGCAGTTCGAGTCCCAGACCCATTGGCTTATAAATCACACAGGGCAAGTGTGTGTCCATGTCCAAAATCCATGGCCAGCTCCCGGTGTTGATTTACTTTTCCTCTCACTCTCTCCAGTGAGTACACACTCCCTATGGCAAAAACCTTAAAACAAAAAAAAATTAGTTGGTGCCACTTTCTTAAATCGATTAACGTTTCTAGTCTCTTATGGCTTCATAAATTCTTATTATAAACTCTGTTCACTTGTTAAGTACAAAAAGTGTGTCAAAGAGCTTTAAAGGCTGCCATCATTGGGTGATACATAAAAGTGCAACTTAATAAGTAATTTATGAAATAGCTGTCTACTGGTACACAGAATTATGAAGTTTTTTTTTTTTTTTTAAATAAAATGAGAACACAGTCCCCCACCACCATAAATTGTGCAGTCGAGTTTCTCACATTTGGGGAAATCGCAAGAGTAAGCACATCCAGAGTGCAATGGATAAGCCTCGCCCTGGGAAGACCACCTTCACGACCATGGTATCTCCCCTACCAGGTAAGTAGGAGAATTAATGAAGTTTTCAAAGGTACTCTCTTAGCAGTCAATGAGTAGCTTAGATGTTGGGAGATTTTGACTTCAAGTCAAAGAAACAAAGACTACAAAATTATTAAAATGGAAACGAAGAAAAATGTTATCTGACTCAGAGATTGTAAATAAGAGACCTACTGGCTTAGTCTGGTTTGGATTGTATGGATTTTTTAAATTTTGATTTTAAGAATTTTACAGCTGGATTTTTAAAATTTTGATTTTGAATATCTTTAGAAAATGCTAACTGACCTTCCTTCTACCATACCAAACATCATCACTGCCTTATTCTTGACCTCATTCGTGCAATTTCATTAAGTGGCTGGCACCTAAATGAATGTAATTCTGTGATGCACTTTTTACAGATAAGGAAAAGAGAAAAATTGTGAGTTAGGTCATTCATTCAAAGTAACAGCATGTTTCCCAGGTAGTTGACCTCAAAAATATCCTGATTCCATGTCTAAAGTCTTTTTTTCCCTATTTTTTTAGATTTTGATAGAGGGTGTGTAAGTGCCCCATAGAGAAACACACAGAGAGAAGGTTAGAAATCACTCGTCAGGGGGAATGGCCATGCCACAACCCCCTCTCCACCAATCTCTCCTCAGGTTTCTGGGCATCACATACTTGAACCCTGGGACTTGAACAGTTGGCCATATGGGATCCAGTGCCTCAACCCCCCTGCCACCTGCCGGGTCTAGAGCCTTTTTTTTACTTCGTATGTTGTTGTATTTGTCTCAGAGATTAAAGTCAGAATCAACCAAACATCTAGTTATTAATATAACATTTCGTATTTTTGTAAAATCACAAAAAAAATTTAGAATGAGCAGTGGAAAGGAAGCTCAGTTCAAGATATTGAATATTTTGATCAAGCCGAAGGAGAAAGCTAGATTTTGAGTCTTGAATTCAATTCCCCACAAAAGATTCATTGCTCATTTTTTACAGGGAAGAGGATGGCCAATAGAAACTCATTAAATAATGGCATTTCTTTTTTTTTTTTTTTTTTTGAGAGGTTTTTGCTATAGGGTGCGTGCACTCACCAGACAGAGAGAAACAGAAAGACAGAAAGTGAGAAATCACCCCCCAGGGGTGATGGCCACACCGCAATCCCTTCTCCTTCATTCTTCTCTCGGGATCTTGGGCATGCACGCACACGTGCCTGGCATGAGTTTTAAGCCACCGGGTCCAGGACGAGAACCGCGGTCAACTACATGGGAGTCCAGCGACATAGCCATTATGCTAACTGCTGGTCCCAATAATGGCATTTCTTTTCATAAGCTTGAAGTCACAATTTCTAAATAAATCTCCAGGAGATGACTGCCTTCAAATGCCATTGATCCTTCAAAAGAGTGACCTACCAAATTAACGTAAATAAAACCCTATGGGCTGTTCAGAGATTATTTTCTCTTAGCTGTCATGTTACTCCTGCAAGATTTCTTTTTTTGTTTGTTTGTTAACATTTAGTAGAGAGAGAGAGGAAAAGAGAGAGAGAGAGGTATATTCAACAAGATCTTCATGCTGCAATTCACCTCCAGCTTCAGCCAGCCAGAATCATGGGCATGTGCACTCCTGGTGTGTTCAGAAAAGTCTCCAGCTATAAAATTACAACCTTCCCCTATGGGTCAGCCTTGCAGAGCATCTCATTACCACTGCACCACCAACTGGTCTACCCATGCAAGATTTTCTAATGTCCGTATGACTTCATTTAAAAAAAGATTATTTGGTTTAGCATAAGAGGCAGTGGCAATTCTTTCTCTTTCTTCTTTCTTTTTTACTCTAATCGCTAGAGGGTAAATGTACTTCACATGAGGAAGAGAGAGATAGAGAGAGAGGTAGAAAGTATCCTCCTGCCCATGGACACGCTTTATCCTTTCTCTTCCATTTCTCCATCCTGTCAGGATTTTAGGAATGCATGCACTTTTACCCTGCTTATTTTTCAAGCCTCTAGAGCTGACATTTGAACTGCAAGTCATCCTTGTAGAATCTGCTGGCCCAATGGTAGAATTCCTTCAATTAAGTTACCACTAAGGTGCTTAATCAAGGGCCATCACTGCATCATATACATTTAAAAAGGAGCAAAAAAACCCACTTAATTTGGAGAATTCTAGACTACTTGATTTTTCTGGCTCAGAGCTAAACATTCATTAAGAAAACAATGTTTCTTCTGGTTTTCTACAATACCATTAGCAATCAGCAGGGAAGGTGTGCCCAGAATAAAGGACAAAGTTCAGACTGGTAATTAGAAAACACTCTCCCATCGTTCTTGGGCCAACCAGGAGCCATTAGTATGCACCCACATTAGTTCACACTCTATTTCCAGTCTCTTTCCTTCTTTCTCTATTTAGTAGTCACGGTGTGGATCAATGGACTTGGGATATTTTTCTCTTCTCTTTGTTTATTCTTTTTTTTTTTTCTCTTCTACAGCACAATCCCAGATAGTCTCAACAGGCGATGTGTACGCGTTAGAAAGATTGATCAAGATGCCCTTGTGTTTATGTATCAGTAAAGCTATATTTCTGGCAATAGTCTCTCATTTGTTTCTAGATCTTAATTCGACTAGACTCTCAGTTTTTAAACCTCCTTTGTGATCCACAGCATTTTTCACACCTGTATCCAACACTTATCAAATTGCCCTATAGTTTTTATTGACATATTCAGCTCCTTTATTTGACTAGATGCTTCCCAAGGACAAGGGATTATGTCTTAATCAGTTTTCATTTCTAGCACTATACATAGTGTATGTTATATGACTAAAAGAAAGAAATGGAGAGAGCCAGCAGGTGGCATAGTGGTTAAAGAGATGGACCCTCACATAGTCAACTGGTTTGAGTCCCAGACCTGGCAGATAGAAACTCATAACAGGCATGTGTGCATGCATGCCCAATATCCCTAGAGGACAATATAGAAGGGATTGTGCTGTGGTCATCTTCCCTCCTGGGTACAGGGGGGTGATTTCTCACTTTTTCTCTCTCTATGACAAGCACATATATCCTATAGAAAAAATTCTCAAGAAAAACAGAAGAAAAAAAAAGAAAGAAAGAGAAATAAATAGATGAATAAAATCACATGAACTAATAGGTGCCTGGGAAGAAGCTTCTGTAAAAAGATCCAACTCTTAGTTACTGTATAAAAACAGAAAAGAGACACTATAGTTGAGCGGGAAGACTCAGAGAGGACGATTCACATAGGGGCTGGTTCCATCAAGGGAAAGGAACCTGACTTCAGTTCAATGTCTGGTAGGCCAGAGTAGGTCAAGTGGCTACATTGTTCTCTCTCTGTCTATACAGTCCTCACGCTGATGCTTCATTTTTACCATTAACTGTGTGATTGAGGCTTGGGTGAGCATGTTCTTGTGTATTTGCCTAATTCCTCTTTATTGATTTACTTACTTATTTACTTTGTATTTGCTATAGGGCATGTACACTCTCTGGAAACAGAGACAGAAAGAGAGAGAAGGAAAGTGAGTAATCCCTCCCAGGTGAGATTGTCACACCACAATCCCTTCTCCACCATTCTCTTCTCTGGATTTTGGGCATGCATGCATGCACACAGTATGCTTTTCAAACCACTGGGTCTGAGACTTGGACTGCAATAGAGCATGTGGCATCCAGCTGCCTTAACCTGCATGCTCTCTACTGACCACATTCATACCTTTTTATTTTATAGCTATTGATCTACTCAGTTTAATGGAGCCAAGTCTGGCACAGGAGCCATATCCTCTCTGCTTCTCTATCCCACTGATACAGCACACATTAAATATCATGCATGTTCTAATCACCAAGCACCAACTTAGAACTAGATAGTGAGAGCTTTTGCCCTGGCCCTAAGCATATCATCTCCTGAAATGAAGAGTTCATGGTGCACAGGGAGAGATCATCCCCTGAGTCTGCACCATCTTCCCATGCTCCAAGTATCCAAGATACAATAATCTCTTGTTCAAATAGTCCATAAATCCATGTTCAGGGCCTGTGTGGATCTCTTTCAAGGATCTGACATCCTGAGGCTGCCTGTGCTTCTGGTGGGGGGGTGATCAGATGAGTTTTGTGATATGTGGTGTCCATTCTCAGGTGTAGGAATCCCTCATGATGCAGAACAGAACCAGTGTGAGCAAGAAAGAGGGCGGTCTATTGGTGAGTGCAGAGGAAGCCTCTCTTTTCACTCTATTACTACTTTCAACTTCCATAAATCAGGCCTACTTTACTCATATTGCCTCATTTGTTCTCCAATAAAACTCCATGTAGAGGAAAGCAGGTCATATGGGGGAAAAAGATCAGAGGAAATTACTGAGATCATAAGTAAACTCATTCATTCAACAAATATTTATTAATAATCTTCATTGGTTCCCAACTGCAGTCTGTTACAAAAGGCAGATTAACAAGAAAAAAATCTAAGAGAAGTTTATAAACGTCTATGTTTCAAACCTACATGGGAGACATTCAGAAAATGTTCTCAGAAATGGTTTTGAATTCTAACTTATATGGCATCTTTGACAAAGGAAAGTAAAGTTTTAGAGAATAGGACAAAGAGAAAGCACTTTTAGTCTATGGGTGGCAACTTGGGGGAAAGAAAATAAATGGAAGATAAAAGCAAGTTAATAACATATGTTATAGATTCTCCTGGTATCATGTCCAGGCCAAGAAAGATCTAAAACTGTCTTCCCTATTAACCTTTGTTCTCCCGGGTAGAAGTGAGGTGTGTTGGATGCCTTTGTCTTTGTAAAACTCTGTTCTACTTTAAGATAACTAGAGAGATAGCAGAGAGCTTTCCTGCATCTGTCCCTTCTTAATTGTCTTCAGTTCAACAAGCCTTCACATTCTGGGAACATGTAGTCTGGTCTTCCACACAGACATGGTGGTGTGGAAAAACAGGGTCTTACCTCATGAAACATTTTTTTTTTAAGAGAGATTTTTGCTATAAGATGTGTACACTCATGGAAGAGACAGAGAGACAGAGATAGAAGGTGAGAAATCACCTCCCAGGG